ATTGAAGCCTAACCTCCTCACAGTTGCTATCTAATTCTATCTACCTGCACCTCATCCACTTATAGGATGTATTTAGAAACGAAGCTAATCAAACTATTTTTAAGCAAAAGGAAAATTGCTCAGCTTTATAATGCCATCAATTTAAAACAATTTTCTTAACATTCCAGACTGAAAATTAAATATCATCCTCCATTGTATACCAATGCAACATGCATTTTGTTTTAAAAATACCAAAACTTGAAAAGTTTTATTCTTCAAAAAACCAAGTTAAGATGCTCAATTTGAAAAATTTTCAGCTTTCAACTGCCGTTTATATTACAAATATTTGTTGTGTTCCTTTGAAAAAAATGGAATATATATACAGCTAGGATATTAAACCCTATTTTATTTACTGTAGTTTATACAAAAAGATAAAGACAGTCCCTTATCCCTATAGATGTATCAGTCAGTGCTATCTCTTTTCCATTCTAATATCCCACTAACCACTTTTACCCAGTCTTCTTAATTTCTTATCTTCTCTTGTCTGCTGGAAGGTCAAAAAGGCAAAACAAAGGGGCTTAAAACCAAATGAAAATATTACTGCCAAGAGGTCAAAACTGAAGCTTAAAAATCTCACAAGCTGGAGATATCATTTGTTATGTTACTTAAATTCAATCTCAAAACATCTAATTATGACCGGCGGTAATGTTATCAAGAATTCATAATAGAATAAATTATATTTATTATTCAATATAAAATTATTTACATCTCCTGTTTGGGACCAAAAATTTTACACTTGAGATTGCCAAATTGAATTAGATAACTGTGGGCAAGGTAAACAGACATCTAAGGAATGTGATATGTTTTCACAGCTCTGTATTTGGAGAAATGTCATAATGGTTATCTTTTATATTTTTCTGTTGTTATGTAGCAGTACTCGACCAGGTAGACTGTCTGGTGATCATGTAGCTCGATTGCTAGAGCATCCGTCTACAGTTCTGTGGGTCCCTGGTTCAAACCCTTGACTGACATGCATATATCCACTGCTATTACAGTGAAAGCTATTTCATAAATCAGGTATAAATGTATCAAATTTTACCTGTTGTAACTTTTAAACATGGAACATCTAAAGACAGCTCTATACAGTGTGTGACAGTATGTGGATAATGTGATGATGTAACCTGTACACAAAGCAATACTAACAAATCTTTGCTTTAAGAAGTGAAAGGTGCGGGTTTCTTTGTCTTATTCCATTGCATAATTACAAAAAAGGGGAATGTCTAACAGATCATAAATAATAACTACACCCACCAATAGCTATAAGGCAGTTCTCTGACTGAATTTACTAGCAGTGGTCAAACATTAAGGCCATCTAGGCCATGTTACTTTTTGAGCTACCATTAAATGTATCTTAAGGCCAGGATAGGGTATAGAAGGGAGATAACTTTGGAACATAGAGGAATTTTCAAGTTTGGCTGCCTTTACTTCAGAAGTTTATCATAAAATTCATATTCTAGATCTAGAGTATTAAGAAATAAAGTTTCTCTAAGAAAGTAGCTTGGTAAGTATTTTCAGGAAAAAGGTAGATTTGCTAATGTCTGACAGGACAAGAGAAAGTTCAAATTTCAGCAAGACTTTAGTAGTAAGTCTGATATATACTTTTATTATCCCTTGGACACTTCCAGTGTGTTACACAAAATACTGGAATATGTTCCTGTATACGTATATGTAGCAATTTAGGAATTAAGATGGTTACTAAATTATGAAAAATAAAAAGATAGTAACATATACATATTTCAATGGAATGAAAATTGGTAAGTAAGGTGGTCTGGGTTGGCATCAAGTACACTAAGCAAAAAAGATTGACTGGGTATTTCTATCTGTTAATGAGCACTGCTAAACAACTGTAAAACAACATGTTTACACCTTCCAATAGGTAGAAAACATGAACAGCATATTATCAATTAATGCACATATGGTCCCTCACACAGGTGCCAGACACCATTACCTGATCACAAACTGTTCTGTGATGGACTAATTATTAATCACAAGCCAACAGAAACAGATGAGTCAGACGGGGATGTCAGCTTCTTCAGGAAGCATGGTATGATTACACTTAAATTTGAACATGACATACTGCATCACAAAGAAATATGAAGCTGAACTCTTAACAGATGACTTTGAGAAGGAGACATGGTCTGTCAAAATTGGATCTCTGCATGTAAAAAGTCCAGCTATTTTTTATCTATTAGTATTTTTCATCTGAAGCAAACCTTGGTCTTACTGAAAACTTAAAATCCAGATTTAAAATGCAGCTTTAAAAACCAGAAGACAAGTCTTATCACCAGTGCTATAAATTTACATGAGGATTCTTTTTCAACATTCCTGTGCCAGCGATTCAGTTTTTATGATGAGCTGTGAGATCAGAGGTCACAGCAATGCCTGCAGCCTACAGGATGAGCAGATTACCATAATATAGGGTGCTAATCTGATTCAATTTCGGACACCTAAAGGACTTATATCACAGAAATTTCATCTGGTAAACAAGATTCTGTCATCATAACATGTACAGGGTAAAGGTGAAAAATTCCTTAAATCATCAACTCAGAGAGTTGTGTAGCACATTTGTATCATTTTTCTGTACTTCAGATTAGTCGTCCAAACTAGATATGTCCCAGCGACACAGCTGTCACAGCTGGCAACCAAGCAGTATGGAAGTGCTGTTATTGGCTTTGATAAGAGGCATTTCAAAATTCCAAATGGAGGTAGCAAGGCTTTCCATTACTGGTCATACCATCTTTTGTGGAAATTTTAATTAAGATTCTTAAAATAAAAAGGCCATTAAAACTTTGGAAAAAATTAATTGACCAAAACTACATGAGAAATTGACCAATATATATTACCATTATACAATCTCAACTTTATACCAAATTATAGTTCAAGATTATAGGGATGATCCTGGAGGGGTCAAGGAGCCATTTTCTTTTATTCTTATATATAATGTTCCCTCTTATTTCCTATATTGACTAAAAACTGTGGGAAATGACCCATTACTCTTAGCTGCCAGGATTTTCCATGTATTTAGGAGTGAATGGGCAAAAATCATGACAGAATGCAGGATTGTCAAGTACCCGTACCACCCACCATCTACTTTTTTTTTTAATAAGTCAAATAATGTTCATTTCAATGTACTTATTAGAATCTGGCTAGCTTAAGTTTCAACCACTTTTCAGTTTAATACATACTTTCACAAGTTTTACAGTACATGAATTTTAATTTTCACAGGAAATAAGGTTTTATAGTATAGCACATGAATTTTAATTATGTATTTATAAATCCAATGCAAATACATGCACAAATATTATCCCTTTACCTATATTGACTTTTTCTGTTTTCGTTAATGTCATTTAGTAAATGTTCTATTTCGGCAGTAATCCACTAATACCCTTTGAATACTTAAGGTTCTGTCTTAAATCTTGAAAAAAAAATAAACACCAATAATTATAGTGGTGTGTACAAGTATACATGTGTACTAAACCATAATAAAATACTTGGCTAGTGCCTCTCCTAAACCTATATATAAGATTACTTAAAAACAGTTTACACTCAATAACATACCAATGACATAACTTCCATGCAGGAGTGCTGTAGGTAATACAGGTATAACTAGAGTGTGTAGGCGAACAAAATACTGGTATAAATATATCTATTACAAAAATAATGTACAATATGTATCATAGAAGACAAAATTTCTTCATAAATGGATTTTAAATCGATCAGAGCATTTTCCACTCATTTGAAAATAGGCCTTTTTATCTTTTTTTATGGAAAAAAAAGATCATTTGGGAAGGAAATTCTTAGGGGTAATCTATGTGTTTTTTGGAATTTAGCCATATTATGAAATGGGAATGGGACCCATATTCCGCCCCACATAGACTCTGGTAAATAGCCTGTCAATCATCATTAATGAGTTTCTTGTAAGTCAAATATGGCTAGATACAAGCTACTGGTACATATTTTGATGTCCTTAATTCATAATTAAATGTTTGTATTTCAATACTTCAACATATCTGGTAAAAAATACCCTCATTATGCATAGAAGTGATCACTGATGCTAATTGATATATATAACATAAACAAACATTCTGAAATCTGAAGCACAGCTAGTTTCTATCATATTACCAGTATAACTTGAAATAGAAGTTCTTTGTATAGTTATGAATGCAACAAAGAGAATGACACACATGTCAAAGGCTAGTGAGGTCAGATTACACAGGTAGATGTAACAGCATGTCTTATCATTTAGAGTATAAATAACACATATATTATACAAGTATCAGTATGTCTGTCAAGGGCACAGATACAACAGATTACACAGGTGGGTGTATCAGTATGTCAGTTTACCAAGGGTGCAGATTACACAGGTCAGTCTTAAAGGGTACAAAATGTACAGGTAAATGTAAAACTGTAATGTCATTCTTTGAGGGTACAGAATACACAGGTAAATTTATCAGTATAAATGTCAGTCTGTAAAGGGCACAAAATACAGAGGTAAGCATATCAGCATTTAAATGTCAGTCTTAAAGGGTACAGATTACACAGGTAAATGTAAAACTGTTATGTCGTTCTGTAAGGGTACAGAATACACAGGTAAATATATCAGCATTTAAATGTCAGTCTATAAAGTGTACAGAAAATGTGGGTAAATATATCAGTATAAAAGTCAGTCTGTAAAGTGGACACAATATGTATCCGTATAAATGTCAGTCTCAACTGGTAGAGAACACACAGATAATGTCTCTGTATAAATGTCAGTCTATAAAGGGCACAAAATACACAGGTAGTTGGTGCTGAAGTCTCAAACAGGTTCTGCCACTGTGCTGTCATATGTAATACACTACATAGAGCACAATGTATACCATAGAAACCTGTACAGATGTCTGTCAGAAACTGTGGGCAATAACAGTCTACGACATACTTTTACACAACATTAATCTCCCAAAGTGTGGCAAACAACTTACCTCACTTTAATATTCAGATTTCAAACTGATTCCCTTGGAAAGAACACAAACTTCCAACGCTTACTTATCCCTCTCAGTCAGCTACATGCATCCTCCATATTGAAAGAGGGTATACTGTTTCACATCCAAACAAGGGAGGCCTGACCTCCACTCTGTGACCTTTGAACCCTCCTACAGTCTGACCCTATGATTCACAAGGCTACAGAGAAGTATGTGGTTAGCCTAAACATAACATGCTACTGAGTAAGGGACTATTAACACACAGTACTTTATGTATCTAATAATCCAACTGTTATAGCACAATATGTGTATTTATGCTAATCTTAACACCCACAACTAAATGTAAGTGTATTCAAAACTTTACACTCCTCAGTATCACAGGGGCCCCCAAGGGGAAATATGACTTGTTTTAATACTCCAACACTGGTATATTGGTAGTGTTATTTCTCTATGACACCTCGCTATTTCTGGCAGCTAAAACAAGCGCATAATGTACCATGTGCCACACTACCATCATTTCAAGTAATGGTCCTTTAACAAGTTGATATAAAAGGACAGTGTCGCTGTAAACTTGAGGGCTGAGTGCTTACCCTGACCCACTGTTTATGGTGGGTTACGCCTCAATGGACCAGCGACACTCCAGGGATACTGTCTGACAGGTTACAGTACTCTGTGTGCTATAACAACACTGTTATTCATTGTATACCTACAGGGGACAGTGGACTTGCTGAAAGAATGTTAAAATTTACAGATGTAAAAATCTTCTAAATAGCATATTTAATACTGATACAATACTCTATATTCTAATCTCCCTAAGCTATGTATTATAATTGATCATATGGTGATGGGTCTGACAGGACTGAGGAGCTAGTCAGTTTAATGTGCAAGATTAACTCTTTATAAGAAGGTGCCCCAAATTCTATTGTAAAATTAAATCTCAAACTTGTACATAAAGTAGATGACTTTTAAATTCATTTGAATAGACTTAAATATCATTCACTCTATGTGTATGACAGAATGTTATTGTTATATTCATGCTAATGATATGTATTTGATTTATTCCAAATTATTATTTAATCGCCTTATTCCTTTAAAAAAACAATCCTTTTACATAAAATCAGATAAAAGTGGAGGTGGATCTACCACACTAAAGCTCCTTCAACAGCAATAAAACAGGATAAATAATGTAGGCTTTTAACAATTCACTTCATATATTAGCTCTGATACAATCAGTTGCATTACAATACACACCTTTCCATTCAATTATACCTGGTATGTTCAATTTTATATACTTGCTGTTAGTAATATTCAAACTTGACTTTAAAAGGAGCATGCAAGACATTATAATAACATGGTATCAAAACAAGATGTGAATGAAATGTCAAGTGAATTAAAGAAAACATGTGCATGGATTTTTAAGTGTTTACTTTAACAAATTTAGCATTGAGCATGTGCACAATAAGCTTTTCTTGCTTACTACTGAGAAAAGGATATCTGTAGTAAAGTCACTGACAACTAAAATTAACATGTAAGAAGATATATTGTTTAATTATCCATTTTGAAAGACTATATTTAAGGGTGTTATCATCATATTGAAATAACAAAGAGATAACTAAAATTGATCTAAATGACAATACAGTGTATCATCATGTCCGGCCATATTACGTAGTTAGAAAACTCAATAATCTAAAAACAGACACTTATCAAGTAAACGAAACTCCAAGCGCTTTCTTGATCGTGATTATAAACCAGTCGCATAGCAAATAGGGCGCTGTCAAAAATGTTTACAAATTCAGTGTTACCCTAATATGGAAAAACCCATACACTTGTTGAAGGCAGGGGTGAAAAAACCCCTCAATTTATAAAGGTAGGAGTGAAAACCCCACATGTCAAAAAGTTATCTGGAGCACTGTTTAAGGGTGTTATCATCATATTGAAATAACAAAGAGATAACTAAAATTGAACTAAATGACAATACAGTGTATCATGATTCCATACTCATTTAAAATCATGAATCCACCCTTATGAAATGGTATGGACTTTCAACTTTCGATAATGAATAACGAAAACCTTGATCATATATTACAAACTGTCAGAAAAAGGTACAATCTTATTTTGATAACTCTGTGATGAATTATTTTATCTTTGGCCTTTGATTTTTGAATACGCATTGAAACAACCTCTCACAAAAAAATCACTTGGATGCAACCTTGGTCATGAAGGACCTAAATGAAAACTCTACGCCAGCTGACTTAGATACCGATGTACCTTAATTCTGCTCAGTCATCTTAAGAATATTCCCAATAACATTTTGTTACAACATCAATATACATAGTGTTACCCATAATATGGTAATGCTTTCTTTGAAAATGCCAAATGACAAAACCAAGAAGATATGGGATGATTTTAAGGAAGATCAATTAGTAATTGACAGGCTGATTTAAACACACACATCTAATGGTACAGGAAACAAACTGGAAATCATATTTATGAGAAAATTAAATGCTGAGTGTAACAATGTACATAGTCATAACAGATCACAGACGATGTGGATGTTTCCATTCAGCCATTTTCAAATCATTAGATACTTGATTTTTTTTTTGGATCATAATTATCCTTGTAGCCTTTCCCTTATATTTCATCTTGATAAAAAGTGTTTATAGACAGAATGTACATAAGATTTGGAATAGATCTTCTGCCCCAATTAGGAACAAAATCTTTATTCATCAAGTGTATATGCATCAGTAAATAAAACCATCATGTCTCGAGGAAAGATTTTTTTCCTGGGAAGCTTGAGGAAAATGCAACCTACTATCTGCTGGGCAACAGCAAATTTTAGGTTATACCAAACCATTAAGTAAATAACAATAAAATCGTGTGTAATAAGTAATTAACAAACCTGACAATTTAATTTGATGTCGGGATATTGCTCTACCAAATGGACAACAAAACATTTCTTAAATCACATTTAGTCCTTAGAAGTAGCTAGTATATTACCAGTTAAAGTAAACTTGTCATAAACAACCTTCCCATGTGACACTGTATTAATTTTTATCATGCAACTGTCGAAATACACCTGCCAAATATATTTTTGTTATATTTGGCAGTGACACAAAACAGCTGTACATATGGTAATTCGATAGAATTACTCTTTGAATTTACTAAAATATTATGTATAAAAATATAAAAAGTTGTTGAAATAAGCAATTTTACATGTTGTAATGAACAAGTTGATTTATGAAAATTCATATAATCGCTGCTATATCCGATGAAGTAATGAACTATGTTTCCGCCCTGAGCAATTATTTTGGTGTCAGTGATTAGACAAATTTCAGCTTAACGTCAATGTCAGGTAATCACAGATTAAACAAAAATATTGTGCAAGTTTCAATAATCTAATTTTCAATCAATGTTGCCGGATGAAAGAGAATACATGGTTTTTGTCTTTAAAATATACAAAGGCTCACCAGAGGCTCGCTACTTTTGTCTTTCTTTGCCCTTGTCAAAATACTGCTTATATTTTAAGACACTGACCATGTATTCTCTATGCAAGAGATGTATTCATTTCTGTTATCTACCTTTGTGCTTAAATCAATTTTATACTGTAGTTAATGTGGACCAGAGATATTTTGTCTACCAATGAGAAATTAATCTGATTTTTGAAAAAAAAAAAGAATACTTATAAAAAGTATATCAGAACAATTATATGAGTGAAACGGAAAATTAGTCAGTAGTATCTAATATAGGGTGTTTATTCAGTTGTAAATAGCTTAAACATTTGTATCGTTTTAAAAATATCAAAAGTTAACAGAAACTGATTATCAAAAGACTTCACACAATCAATTTTTAAATTATTAAGCTTTCTACTACTCTCCACTTGCGGATATACACTTATTAACGACGCCTCAGAATCAATATGGTGACTAATACATAAAAGCAGAGATCTTGAGGAAAATAACTACTTTTGGTCATATTTTCAATGTATATGTTCTCAGTAACAATTAGAGCAAGACCAAATCAAACTGATTTTTTCTGCATAATAATTGAAGTGGTGGGAAAAAGGATAACCAGAGATATCTCTGTCCAAATGAACCCCTCCAGATAGATAATAATGAAGATAAGAACTTGCAACACTGTTTAACCTGTTTCATATATTTTATCAATTAGTCCTGGGTATACACATAACTCTCTTGGTTTTTGTGACGACTGTTGACACACATACACATGTGTGACATGTGTTGAACTAAGTAAACGTTCCATGTGTATGTGAGTAAGTACCTCTGTTACAAAACAATTTTATTCCTCTGAAACTGACAAACCAAAAGCATAAAAGATTTGCACACCAATATAATAATATTCTATGTTATATCAAAGTTATATCATAACAGTAGCAACTGCTCTTACCACCTTTATGTACTCGGAGATGTATGTACATGTAATTTCAGTATGGATTTTCCACTGATATGATTTTAATAAAACATTTTTTTTGCTGACGTTTTTGTATATAAATACACAGTGTTAAGTTAAGCAGAACATTTCACTTTTAATCAAGGATAACACTAAAAAAAAAACAGGATCATATGAAAAGTGTCTACCTTTTACACTACGGTTTACATAAAAGACATTGGCAGTCGAAGAAATACTTTGACGTCACATATACCAGGGACGTATATAACAGTATTATACGTCCCTGCATATACTTTGTGACTATTGACTTCACTTAATGTCTAACTAATACAAAAGTACTTTCGAAGTACTTTCGACTGCTGAAAAACAGGTATCGGGATAAAATATGTAAGAACAGCATAATATGGATAAAAGTGTTATCAAATTTGACAAAAATCGAAATTGAGGCCAAAACCCTTTATATACTTCGGTGGTTTTAGTATTTTATCCTGAAACGCCCGCCCTTATCCATGTACTTCTAGAGAAAATTGGTAACATAGCAAGACTAGGTTATAACTTTTATAACTTCTTCGCTATAGATTTTTACTGTATTTTTCTAGGTTATAACTTTTATAACTTCTTCGCTATAGCTTTTTACTGTATTTTTTCTCTCTCTGCGTCCCCATGCATTCAAGATAGATTATCGTTTTACTAAGA